GTAGCAGCATAAATACATATAACAAAAATAACCTTAAATATCAATATACAAAAACATCTTAAACAAAAGTTGGAGCATATAAACAGTATAACAAAAATGACCTAAAATTTGTATCAGTATGCAAAAATATCTTAAGGAATAGAAACATATATAGTATAACAATAATAACCTTAAATTTGTATCAGTGTACAAAAATCCATAACAATGTAAAATATTTGAGACTAGTAGTTGGTTTTCTAGTTTGAAAGTAGATTCAGCTGGGTGGTGGTGGCGCAGGCCTGTAATCCCAGCACTTAGAAGGCAGAGGCAGGCGGATCTCTGTGAGTTCAAGGCCAGCCTGTTCTACAGAGTGAGTTCTAGAACAATTGGGACCGTTTTTGTCTTTAAAAAAAACCAAAAGGAGGGGGCTGGAGAGATGGCTCAGCGGTTAAGAGCGCTGACTGCTCTTCCAGAGGTCCTGAGTTCAATTCCCAGCAACAACATGGTGGCTCACAGCCATCTGTAATGAGATCTGGTGCCCTCTTCTGGCCAGCAAGCAGACAGACAAAACACTGTATACATAATAAATAAATCTTTAAAAGGAAAAAAAAAAAAGAAAAGAAAGCAGATTCAGTTCAATAATCTACTCTCTTATCCTATCATTTCTATATCCCTCCATTTTCTTTTCAGATCTGGATCCCTGAATCTAATCTCCTTTGTTCAGCTTTTTTCCTTACCATCCCCCTGTAACCAATCCCCTAAACAATGACGAACATCCATAACCCACCAAATAACCAAAGCCCACCCACCCCACTTCTTGGGAATGTGAACGTCATGTTCTCTAGACTGTTTCCTGTTGTCTGGGGTGACTGCATCTTTAGAGGACCCTGAGAAAATTGGGATAATGGTCAAGTCCTGGGAGAGCTAGCTGTTGTCCAGTCTTGGGGTGATGGAAAGGTGCAGGCTTTTCTGAAGTTTGGCTGAATAGTTTGTGGGGCTGGACCATCTCAGCAAGCAACTCTGAAGCTGTTCTGGATGTAGAGTTTTGAGGAAACTGCAACAGAGGTGTTCTGAGAGGCTGGGTCACCTGGGCTACTTGTCTTGTCTTTTGTTCTGGAAACACACAAACTTCATTTCTTTGTTTGTTTGTTTTTTGGTCTTTTGAGACAGGGTTTCTCTGTATAACTGCTCTAGCTGTCCTGAACTAGCTCTTGTAGACCAGGGTGACCTTGAATTCAGGCTGCCTCTGCCTCCCAAATATTGGGATTAAAGGTGTGCACCACCACCACTGTCCAACTCAGAAACACACAAACTTTTAAAGGTAACATATCACAAGTCAGCTAAAGATGGTTTTTGTTCTGTGTTTGAGCAGGTAAAGGGCATCTGTTAACTTCCTAAATTTGTTTGGACTGCATGACCAAACTGTATTATAAGTCTCTCCATCCATATCCTAAGTCACAAGGACCTTGCAGCCAACACGATTTGTCACATCACATCTCATCCCCGTCTCAGAGCTGTTCCTACAGTGAAACGATCAGCATGTGTCACCTGTCCTGTCGTCTGTTTGGTTTCCTGTAGTCTATTTGGTTTCGGTTTGTTTTTGTTTTTTGTTGTTTTGTTTTTTCAAGACAGGGTTTCTCTGTGTAGCCCTAGCCATCCTGGAACTCACTCTGTAGACCAGGCTGGCCTTGAACTCAGAGATCCTCCTGCCTCTGCCTGGCTATGCTGGGACTAAAGGTGTATACCACCACACCTGGACAACTCTAGGTGGTCAGTTCTCTCCTTCCATGTGAGACCCCAGGATGTAACTTGGGTCTTTGGGCTTGGCTGGCACTTTTACCCATTGAGCTGCTTTGTTGGCTTGCTTTGAAGTTTCATTTTGTTTTTATTCTTTATATCTTGGTGTTTTGAGATAAGATCTATTATGTAGCTCTGGCTGTCCTGGAACTCACTATGTGGACCCGGCTGGCCCTGAATTCACAAAGATCCACCTGCCTCTGTCTCTGGAGTTCTGGGATTAAAGGTGTATACTATCACGCCCAGGGGGGTAGCGTTTGAGATAGAGTCTCTCAGTATGTAGCCACAGCTGACCTCGAGTTTGTGATTCTTCTACCTCAGCCTAAGTGCTAGGGTCACAGATTGTACTGCCATGCCTGGCTAACACCTTGATTTGAAATGTAGGTGCCTTCACCCAAGCCCCCTGCACTGAGCTAGCCCCTTGATTGTGGCGTGTTGAGGTGCCATCGAATACAAGGTCTCAGGCATACCTTATTGCTGAGCCATACCTCCAACCTTTTCCTGTCACTGTGTGAGACAGGGCCTCATGTAGCCCAGGCTGGTTTCAGCTCACTGTGGTTGAGAATAACCCTCATGCTTCTGGTCCTCCCACCTCTGTTCCCCAAGTTTTGGGACTATAGGGGTACCTCACCACAGGTGCCTTGAATTTTTTTCTCATACGGGGTTGGCCCCAAGTTGCCCACACTGACCCTGAATACACTAACTCAGGCACCATGTGACCTTCTTGCCTCAGCCTTCCAAGTAGCCCGGATGACTGGTCTGCAGAGGGCCTAGGGCAGCCATGAAGTGCAGTCTGCCTTAGCTCCCCAAGGTTGAATGCAAGTAGCGCTCCCATGAGCACCTGGAACAGCATGCCTGCTCAGCCCGACCCCTCCCTTTTGTGGTAGGGTATTTGTGCCAGCAACTGACAACCTAGGTGAACTTGGCAGCTAGGCCCCAACCTCAGGGACAACATGGGGCTGAGGACAGATGAGGGCTGGGTTCAGAGACTCTACCTGGATGGAAGACCAGGACAGCTTTCGGGAATCAGGTAGAAGGCTCTGGAAGCTGAGCTTTCCCGGCCGAGGGGAGAGAAAGCTTGGGAAGAAACTGGTACCGTGTCTTCCTGAACCTCCCTTTCTTGACCTTCTAGGGAAAGAAGAAGAGCCTGTCGGTCCTGGAGGGCCTGGGCTTCCGCGTGGGCCAGGCTCTGGGTGAGAGGTGAGAGCCAGCTCCACCTGCCTTCCTCTACTGCCTGGGAGGGTGGGCAGACCTGATATTGGGGTTTCAGCTGGAAGACCTAGGTGGGGAACATTTCGTGGGCCCAGATGTCCTGGCTCCATTTGACATCCTCCTCCAGGCTGCCCCGGGAGACACTGGCCTTTAGAGAGGAGCTGGATGCCCTCAAGTTCCTATGCAAAGATCTGTGGGCAGCCATGTTCCAAAAGCACATGGATGGACTCCGAACCAACCACCAGGTGGGTGTGTGAGCAGGCCTGGTTCAGCGCCAGCACCTGGCCTCCAATTTGGGGGCAGTGGAAACCCCACAAGGAAACCTCCCAGTGGGCTCACTGGGGACTTGGGAAGCAAGAACCATAGATTCTCCATAATCATCTACACCTTCTCCTTGGAGCCCCAAAGGGAAGCCAGGGCTGCAGTTGGGTGCAGGGCTATTTCTGTAACTTCAACCTGCCTGTCAGGAGTGAGCTAGCTAGTGGCCTCAACATGATGATTCTTGTCCCAGGCTTGTGGTAGTCCCCATTGGACGCCCACACTGTGCCCATTCCCTGCCACTGTTTCATGGGCCAGGGCTTCAGCTTCCAGCACTCCTGCCAGATAGCGACTGCTTCCTAAGAAGCCACGTGTCCAGCAGGGTGGCCCATGTGCTCCTGGGTGCCCAGGTCCCCAGAAGCGCTGAAGGATTGGGTGCTGGGGTTCTTGGGTCCGTTCCTTGGGTCTCCTCTCCCTTCTGTCAGTGCCCAGCCTCACCAGGCTGTTTTCTGTCGCCAGGGGACCTACGTGCTTCAGGACAACAGCTTCCCCCTCCTTATTACCATGGGCTCGGGGTCACAGTATCTCGAGGAAGCTCCCAAGGTACTGGGGAATACAGCAAATGCCCATCTGCCCACCCCCTGCTACACCTCTGGGCCCCAGGGCCTGGTGTCCTCTCCCACAGTGGTCTGTATCCCCCATCCTAGTTCCTGGCCTTCACCTGCGGCCTCCTGTGTGGTGCCCTCCATACGCTGGGCTTCCAGAGCCTAGTCACCGCCTCTGTGGCTGCCCTGCCTGCCTGTAAGTCACTCGGGAGCCCTCAAGTGTAGGCTTTGGGGCTTCCCCATCCCTGGTCCCTCAGTGTTGGGAAGGGGAACCAGAGTACCAAACCACATCTGACAGGGAATTTGAGGCCCAGAGACAGCTAACATGAACATATCCATGTACCCAGCCTGCGACCCTGGGGTGCCTCTAAGGAAACAGGGTAGCAGTGGGGCATCTTAGGCAGTCTGGCCAGGTTCCCTGATGACTTTGAAGGGTGGAAACCTACCACCCATCTGCTGTTATCTTAACCCATAGGACACTGCTGGGCTTGAGCCCCACTCCTCCCAGTGGGCACTGCCACCCCCTCCTCACCATTGTAGGGACCTGGGATGAATGAGCAGACATGTCAGGAGCTCGGGCCA